GCAGGAACTCCTAAAGGACATTTCCAGAGACTTGAGCAGAGGAGTGATTCTTACTTAGTGTTCAGGGAGGAGGGTGTTTCTGGAAACCCTTCCCAGTGACCGATCATCTCGGGGTTAGGCCTCTATTGTGGAGCCCACCTCCCAGGGGCCAGCTAGCTCTGCTCTGTGCAAGCAAAAGAGCCACACACTTTTTAGAGAAGTGAGTCTCGAGGCACAGAATTTTGAAGCTGGTTTAATACTGCAGAAACTGCAGCCCAGAGAGGGCAAGTCACTTTTCCAAGGTCACACAGAGAATATTTAGCCTCACTAGAAGAAGAAATAAGACAGGAATGAATCACCTACCCAGAACGGGCGGTTTGGGCCTAAGTGGGAGGGGCAGCGACCCACAGGCTGTGCAGGAAGGGAAGACACCAGGAGAATGGAACTCAGGAGGCTGCTCTGTGACGGGGCTGTTCCAGGCATCTTGCATATTTGATTTTATTTACTCCATAGAAAACCAGTATGAGCTGGAGACATCATCATCCCCATTTTACTGATGTGGAAACTGAAGCACAACTGTCCCCAAGGTCTCAAAGCTAGAAAACATAGATGCTAGAATATCTGGGTTTGTTTGTTTGTTTGTTTGTTTTTGTTTTTTAAGATTTATTTATTTATACAAGCACTGGGTACAGTCAGAAGCGCGGGAGGGTGAGAGAATTCACCAGAGCCAGAGCGGGGAGCAGAGCAGGCAGAAGGACCGAAGTACACTGCTGAGGGGAGCAGCGGGCGGCAGGAGAGGTCTGTGCGCCATGCGGGACACTCCTCCGGTGGCCAGGGAGCAGCTGGGGATCGAACCGGCGCTGTAGAGGCTGCGGGCAGCTTCGCAACCCAGCGCTCAACCGCTGCGCCACCGGGGAGGCCCTAGAATGTCTGTTATGACCAAAATCTGACTTCTCTTTATGCAACTCTTCTCGTTCCTAGAGATTATCCCAGCACATAAGGCCTCCTTCCCTCCCTCAGACTCTGAGTCTGGGTTCCCTGGGAGTAGACAGAACACCCCATCACCCCCCCAAACAACACACACACACACACACACACACACACACACACGCGCGCGCTCATTCCGACCTGGCAGGGACCCAGTCAGGCAGGAAGATGGGGGAGTCCACTCACACCCCACGCACAGCCTCCCCCTTCCACCCCTACACAAGAGGGAGAACAGTGACAGGAGCAGTTGAGTGCGCCAGGGTCTGAGGCCTCCGTAGCAATAACTACAAGATTACAGAGACATTAGCGAGCCCCAGTGATGTGGCTCTATTGTAATGATAAATCTACAGCTTCATAGAGAAATAATGAGACTGGAGGCCAAGGGGGGAGGGAAGAGCAGGGTGATTTCAGCCAATGGACCTTCAGGGTGGAGAGAAAATGGCCAGTCCAGCCAGGCAGGAGTGGGGGCAGCCGGAGCCGCAGAGGCAGCTGCTCAGGGCTGGGGTGGATTTGATGAACTCCTGAGATTCCTTCCCACTCCTGAGCTTCACGATTCAGTGCGAGCAGAGGCCTCCAATCACCCTGGCACTTCCGGTTTGCCCGATTCTCACCCTTCAGTGCAGTGGGGGGTATATTAGCTCCATTATTGCCCAGGCTTCCTTCCATAACAGCTTGGGGGTGATCAGGCAAGTAAGCACCTTAAGATTTGCAATTAATAAAGAGCTACACTCCCCAGATCATTCCTCCCCTTCGAGCGCCTTGAAACTGCATGTTCAGGGGCTGTGAGGATACAGCACTGTTCCAGGTTTTACTGCAAACCAACCTGAGCACCGGGGCAAGGGTCTGCGCTGGCACAGCCTAGTTCCTCCTGCCAGGACTGAGTCAGATTGTTCAATTTGGCAAGCACGAAAAGCAACAGGGACAGCACCCAGGGCTCCTGGGACCTCAGAGCAGCCTTCGGAGCCCCCTTTCAACATCTTGACTCTGCTCCAGTCCAGACTACCTGCTCCATGATTAATCCCTGCCATTCCAGACACAAACCACCTGCCTGCACCACAGCTCGGAAGGAATCCACAGGCTAAGCGGTCTCTCCCCGCCAGGCCAGTAACTTCATCCAGCTCTCACTGTACTTTCCTTGTGCCCCAATACATAGTTTTAACTCAATTAACCGAACCGTTGGTCATTTATCAAGGATGTGCTGAGCTCCGACGCTTGCATAAAATGGCAAGTTCAACCCTGAGGGAAAATACAAGAGAAAGTCAAACATGGAGCACAAGTCGTTCCTGAGCCACTGGGAGGGCTTTGCAAGATGGACTATGCTTCGAGATACAGATGAGGCACGTGGAACAGATCTGGAAGAGCATTTGCTTTGATAGGTTTGGGCCAGGCAGAGGGGTGGGGGGAAGGCCAGCCTGGTGAAGCTTGTGAGCAAAGGCAGGACTGCGGAGTGTGTTCAGGGAGCAGCCCGCTGGGGCTCCAACTGGGGCTCCAGGAGTGGAATCTGGCAGGCAGCACAGAGGAGAGCCAGCTGTCCTCATCTGTACGCCTCCACTGTGCTGGCTGCAAGATTTTGTACACACCGAGTACTCAGTTGTCCCCAGCGACTGTGACTTGGGCCTCTCTTGCTCCCAAACAATTAAAATTTTAAAGTCAGCACCAAAAAAACATGTAGAGGTAGCAGCCTTCTTATTTCTCAGCCTGAGTTCTCTCCTGCCTGGATGACACGTCAGCTCCTGAGAGCCGGCCACCGCAGAGGCTGGGCATTGGAGGGTCCCAGGGGCCTCCCCTAGGTAGGGGTCCTCTGGCTTAAACAGACGACAGCCAGACAGGTCACCTCGCAGCTAAGTTTCACAGGCTCCTGGGCCCAGACTTCCTCTGCTCCTGGCTCCACACTTCCCCTTCCTCGCTGTCGATGGAGATACACATACCAGTCCCCGCCTAGCTTAATCCCTCCCACCCAGGAAACATCCCTGGCTGTATATGTATATGGTGCCTGCTACTTTGCATCACTAGCTACTGCACAAACAGATTTTTGCCTCTATGATTATATTATGAATTCTATGGGCCAAGGAGGGCATCTTCTGCTTTCCCCCCATTACTGCCACCATGCCCCCAGTGCCCGGCACAGCATTCTGCTTAGGAGATGTAAAAAGCTATAATGGCACTGGCTGAGCTTGGGGAGGATGGTGAAGACTTGTGGGTGTTCTCTGGAGGATCTGTTTTTCTTTTGAAGCTGGCTGGGGTGGGGGCAGGGTGAAAGAAGAGCTGGACAGCCACCCCATGTAGTTCCAGGATCTAGGAAGTCAGCATCCAGGTGAGGGCTGTGTCTGGTGCAGACAGTCTGTTCCAGGACTGAGGCTTCCACTGGCGCTGGGAGCTAGAGGACCAGGAGGCTGAGCTCTGCTCCTGGAACTTCTGGGCTTGGCCTCAGTGTGAGGAGGATGAGCTGCTTTTCTCTCCCTGCACTTGAAATGAACCTACTGCCTGATGAGGCCGCATGGGGAGAGCTGCACAGATGTAAACTTGAGCGTGATTTATGAAGCCGGGCTCCTGGACTCGGGGCCGGCACACAGCTGCTGCTCCAGCCCGCCCCGTCTGCCCGCCCCGTCTGCCCGCCCTGTCTCCCTGGCCGTCGCTGGTGCTGTTTCTGGGGATATTTCAGGAAAGCAGCAGTGGGGGAGGCACTGGGACGTCAATCTGGACGGGTCCAAGTCAGCACCCACTATGAGAATGGGGTGTCCCAGACGCTCCTCCTGGGGGCAGAAACGGCCCACCAAAGCCTTTTCTCATTGAACAAATCAAGATGCTTCCCCTGTTCTCACCAGAGCCAGGCTGATCTTTCCCCACAGATTCAACAGAGACACTGAGTACTGATGCCCAAAGGGAGGGTCTGCAGACTGAGTGGGGTGACCTGTGCCCCACAGAAATGGTGCAAGATATACCCAGCACTCAAGGTGCCAGACGCAAGGTCACTGGCGCTTGGTGGAGACACCCTCAGGGTCACCATCTACTCCCAGAGGCAATTGCACAGCTTCCTCAACAACTACCGTGGAGCGCCCTGCTCCAAACTCTCCCAGTCTCTGCCAAGCTCTCCTCCCTTCCCCCAAAAGCCAACGGGAGCTTCACAACTTGAAACCTTCCCTGGTTAATCTGAGTTGATGCTGAGCAGCCCAGCACCCGCCTCCCCTGTGTGGATCAGCCGGGTCTCCTTTCAGGCCCACTCGCGTGGGCAGGCAATGCCTAAGAGAAAGGACACTAGTGCTGCTCACTGAGCAGCAGGCTCCGGGCACACAGCAGGAATGCTTTGCTCCTAGAGAGAGGAGTCACCGTGCGTCTTGCTTTGGCTGGTGAGATGTGAGTGAAAGTGTGTCACTTCTACGTGGGAGCCTTAAGAAATTGTGATTTGCTGCATTTTCTTCCATCTGGGGTGGTAACATGGAGATGGAGCCTCTGTCGGCTTGAATTTCTGAGTAACAAGGTGGCATGGTGCCCCAGCCAGGCTGCAAAGCACATGTAATATGAGTGAGAACTATGCACTGGTTGCTATAAGCCACCAAATCCTAGGAGTGTTTGTTGCTGCAGCATAACCTGGGCCATCCTGAGGAATATAGCCTGTTCCCGATCGACTATTTATCCCAAACATTAACGCCCTTGGAAGATGCTGCTGTCTGATTCAACCTACAAGTCTGCTCCATTCTTACCCATGATTAAAGAGATAGATATGATTTTATAGAAGGCAAACCTGAGGCTTAGCATGTAGAGAGAACCACCCAGAACATATGATCAGAGCAACAGATATAAATTCCCTCCCCTTCCCGATCTCTTGGGAGTTCTGCTGCCCCGTATCCCAAGCTGGGGCAAAGTACAAGGTCTTTCCTAAGACAGGCTAGACCATTGGTCAGTTTCCAGAGTTGCCCTTCACATCTGGAAAGGCAAAGGCCCATTTGTCTCTAGGGGAGAGAGAAATGGAGACATGTCCCACTCAACCCAGATGTACAAATCCTCAAGAAACCTAGGAACACAGCTGTACTCACACTTGTGGCATACTGGATGTCCTTCCAGATGGAGGTTTCCCGGGACAGGTCAGAGGCCTCAAAGAGGTTGTCCAGGATGACCTCCCCAATCATGTCATGGCGGGAGAAACGGTCGAAATCGAAGACACTGAGATGCAGCTTGCGGTCGGCCAGCTCCTCGTAGGGCACAGGAAAATGGAAGTTCTCATCGAAGGTGGGGTTCAGGGTCTTGCGGTGCACCCGGGTCTGCAGCTTGCATTTGCGGTCGGGCAGGAGGTAGATCTTGACATAAGGGTCAGAGCTGCCGCAAAAGTCCTTGGCAGGGAGGTCGAAGGCCTTCAGGATGCGCACGATCAAGGTCTCGCTCTCATAGTCATAGCGGAGGCTGAAGTTGATCTTCCCGCAGCTCTTGGCGGCTTCAGACTTGGCCTCGTCCCCATCCACTGACTTCTGCTTGTAGAGCTCAGGCTTGATGCGGCCAATGCTGGTGGGCTGCTCCGCCGCAGGTGGCAGTTCATTGCCGTAATCCACGCTGGACACGTGCATCTGCCTGGGCAGGTGGCGCTTGAAAGACGTGTGCCTGGGGGGGGGGGGTATGGTGGGAAGGGCAAAGAGAGAGGAGTGGTCAGGGGTGGGAATGGAGGTGCAGGCAGACACAACTGCTGGTTCCACCTATCTAAGACCCCCTTCTCCTGGTGCTTGTGGACCCCCTTCTCTCTGTACGCACTTTGTACACAATTTGTGCACGTGTGGTATCTTAATATATGTAAAGTACAGTTGGCCTTTGAACAGCAGGGAGTGGAGGCTCCAACTCCTTCCCCAGCAGAAAATCAGAATAACCCTGGTAGAACTCTACGCTCCCTATCCATGAACTCAGATTCAACCAACCAGCATCCCTACAGCTAGCTGAACTCCTGATAGTGGGGACAGAAAAACACCGTGTGTGAGTGAAGCTGCCCAGCTCAAACCTGTATTGTTCAAAGGAGCAGCTGAAGTTGGAACAGGGCCTGGTGTACAGAAAGCTCAGTGTTAGCCACTGCAGCAATTATTATTTTCCATTTTTCTGCTACCTGCACCTAGGCTGTTTCCTAATAGACCCAGCCCTGGGTCCCTGATTAAAACATGTGATTCCTTAGAGAAGGCCGGGTCATTCCCGCTCTCCACGTGAGGCCTCTTCACCATCACGACCACCTCAGCACCACTGCTAACTTTTATCTAGTGTTCGAAGCCGTCTGCATAGGCTAATTGGGCTCTGCCACTTTCTAGCTGGATGAACTTGGTTAAGTTATTTAACCTCTCTGTGCTATAAAATGAGAATAATAATAAAAGGAGCAATTGCATAGGGTCGTGCAATTGCTGTGAGAATGAAATTAATTCAAACATATAAAGTGCTTAGAAGAGTCGATTATCAAAAGGATTCTTTCATTGGCTCTTCACGGCCATCTTGAGAACCACTAGCCGTACTTTGCAGTTGGAAAATGTGGGGTTTTGGAAAGGTGAGCAACATGCCCGAGGTCACCCAATCAACTCTGGGCTATGACCCTCGCACTTCCCTTTCTGGCCTCCAATCTACAGATCCAGCTTCCTTCCCTGGAGCTGTTTCCCCAGGAGACCTTGCAGGGACCCAGGATCCACTAGATTCCCAAGTTTTCAATAAATCCAGCGCCTCCTCTCGGTATACACCCAAACTTCAATGTGTGTCTGAATTGAATAGTTTTTGTCACTGTGTGGTTATTTTTTTGTTTTTGCAATTAAAAAATGCCATGCATGTAACTGCTATCATGTGCAGAATTGTTAAAGGTGACAGAGGAATTCTCATCCTCAAGATGTTAGGGATCAAGTCCCTCTTCATCTCCCCTGCATGGCAGACTCCATCCGCGAGGCTTTATTGCCATATCCCTAGACACGCTGGGAATTCCTAAGCCTCTGGGCTCTTGTCTAGTCTCTGCCTGAAGTTTTCCCCACCCCCTAAATTTTTACCCCCATACCCCAGTGCTCACCCCATGCCGAGCACCCCACTTCAAAGACTCCTCTCCTGAAGCCTTTCCTGGTGCCCGCCTTCTTGATGACCCCCCACCATCGGCAGCTCATCTGGTCCACGGCCATGTGCAGCCTGACTAAGCTCAGGGGCATGGCCTTCACGACGGCGTCCCTCTGCAGAGCCTCGGCCGCACCTGACAGCCACACAGCGGCGCTGACTGCTGACACCTTCTCGGTGCATCCCCCACCCCCTACCCCCGTCAGGGCCCCACACCTGTGGCCTCCAGCCCAATCCACGTGTAATCTCACTCATAATCACTCAGGCCTCTGACCCTCACAGATTGGGCTCTCGTTGTGGCTGGAAGGCTCCAAGGCGGGGTGCAGGGCCAGGGAGGGGGGGGCCTCACCTGGTGGACGACGCCGGCTCTGTGGTTTGTCGCTGCAGCCGCGTGTGACGCATGATGTGCTCCTTGACCGACATCTGCACCTCGGCCGGGATGTCCGGGGACGTGTGGCTGATCTTCACGGCCGTCTCCAGGAATCCCAGGGCGCCGGGGTCCTTCAGCTTGTCCGCCATGTTGCCTCTGGAGCTGGGGCTCTGGAGGGGCTCCGGGAGGGGGTTAGCAGAAGAGGGACTGGAGGCCTCCTTGCCCCTCCAGGGCATCCAGCACAGCTTCCAAAAAAGAAAGAGAAAAACTGCCACCAGGGCCAGGCCACACACAATAACCACCACGGCGAGGAGGCTGACGGAGGTGCCTGCTCTCAGCGCGAGCCAGGCGGGGGGACAAGACAGACAGAGGCGGGGAAGCGGGCCGGGGTGTTGGAAGAGGGGCACACAGAAGGGACAGAGACGGAAGAAGAGAAAAGAATGATCATGAGAAAGCTGCCCGGAGGAGGGAGGCGGCTTCAGGGCCGACGCGCCAGAGTCCACTTGGTGAAACAACTGAGGCCTCGAGGGCACCTCAGACTGATTCTCCAGCGTCGCCCCCTCCCCACCATGGCCAGCCCGGGGAGCACCTGGGCCCCCTCCCTGCTGCCTACCAGCACGTGCACCGCGGAAGGGAAAGTAATTTAAACAGCAGCCGAAGCAAATGTGCAAATTCGTGAAGCGTTCACATTTGGATGCCTTTTGAATTTCTATTAGAGCTGCTACTGTGGCCAGCCTGGCAGCAGCCATCCTTGCACACAGCTCTCTTCCTCAGCAGGCTGCGAGGCCTCGGGGGCCAGAGGCTTGGCTGAACTCCGCTTTCTCCCTTGCCCCACCTGTGCCAAACCCACAGCAGTAGCTCAACATGTAGCTGTTGAGCTGATTTGAATGAGATTGAATCCCTGCTCCTGGAGGGCAGGGATTAGGTCTACTGGCTTGTCTGTGCTCCCAGGACTCTGCACATAGTAGGCCCAATAAACCCTTGCATTAAATTGGAATCTGATCCACACAGTTTATTTCAAAGCTAAGGGCAAATGATTGCTACAGCTATCCTTTTCCATCCCTGGGGCAGTTGGAGAGCATTGCTGTAAAACTGGTATTTTTGAATGTCACGGTTGGGTCAAGGGCGGCCACTCACTGTCCCAACCCTACACCACCCGCCTCCCCAGGATGCCCATGGTCCCAGGAGAGCTGTGAGGGATGCCTCCCTTTGGGAGAAGTTAAACAGTCCCTGCTCTGCCTTTAGGAATGGCCCTCTGGGCCCCAGTCCCCTTGTTCTGAGAGGTCAGAGGCTTGAGCCAGCAGTACACAGGCAGGCTCTGCACAGGGTCACTGATGGACGAGCCAGCAGAGGTGTCTTGTTTGGTTTGCACGGTGATTGAAAAGTTGAGCAATTCCACCGTCACCACCACACCACATGTCTGGCTTCTCTGCAAACGGCCAGAGGACTCGGCAGCTGGACTGGAGTCCTAGGTGTGGGGTTGGCGCCAGGGTGGAAGGCTGTGTCCTCACCAGCTCCACTTGCTGTTCCCTGTCTGGCCCCTGCAGACCTGTATATCTGCAGCCCCTGGATTATCTTGTCTCCATGCTCCATGGTTCTAAGAAAATTTCCCATGAGTCTTGAGGCCAGCAGTGGGGTCAGAGCGGGGACTGGCCTGGAGCCACAGATTGGTAGAGGCAGAGTCTGGGCCAGGGCCCCTGTGTGCACTGCCCACTGTCCCAACCTGCCTGTCTCTGATTAATCCTTGAACCCTGTGTTTGTACATTTGTCTAACTCGGGGCCTGTTATAGAACTGGCACATGGGAATGAAAGAATGGCTCACAGAAGGACCAGAGCGATCATTCAGCCAGCGTGGCCCGAGCACCTGCTTCATGACAGGATTTAAGCCAAGCGTGGGGTACAGAGATGCGCGGGTCCCCACTGAGGCTTCAGAGATTCCTGACAGCACACAGACCCCAGAAAAAGCTGTCATACATCCAGAGGAACCTGAGAGGGAGGTGAGAACATCAGCCATGCTCTCCAGGGAGCCAGCACTGCCTTTCAGCTCCCCGGATGCAGGGTACCGGCCTTGATCACACACCACCTTCATGATAAGGAAAACAACAGAGAATCCTCAAGTCCTTACTTAGCCATTTATCCCAAGCGCCAGATCTCTGCACAGATTTTTTTTTTAGATCTTTTTAAGATCCACCAAAGGATCTGGGATTGGTCCTTCATCTGGAAACTGCCAGAGAAAGCTGATCTAATTTAACTTTTAGATTAAAGGTCTCCAATGTGGTGTGTATGCATCCCCAGGCACAAGAGAGAAAAAGATCAGATTATTTATATATATATTTTTTAATATACATTTTATATATATATAATTTAAAAATAGGAAACCAAAATTTTAATACACAGGTTGAATATAAAATACTATAGTTGAATATAAAATAGTTGAGTAAAAGAAATGATAGTATTTATTATTAGATTTAGTCAGATTATTGAACATTACTATGTCAAGGCACAAATTGCTTTTAAAGTTTTCAGTCATGTAACACTGCCCAGGGGAACAGGTGTGATTATTATCCTCATTTTGCAGATGAGGAAACCGAGGCACAGAGGGCTAAATAGACTGGCCAGGGACACACAGTAAGTGACGGGATGGAGGTCCCAGCCAGGCAGCTCAGCTCTGCAAACCCCCCGGAGACATACATACATATGTATAAGGAGGCAACATGTAAACATGTATGGAGGTATTAGATCAAAATAATTTTGGGCTGTTAGGGGTTCCTGATCTAAATGGTCTGGAGACTGTTTCTTTATCCCCCTGGGGCTCACCAGGAAAGTGACCCAGTTCTTCTAAGAACCGGCCATCTCCAGACCTCTTCTCTCTCTTCCCAGTTACAGCTGTTCTGGTTGCATCCTCTGCATTATGAGTCACCTTAAAACAAAAGGTATTTCTAGGGCTTTGCTTTCCTTTGATCATACATCTTACTTGTTCTGGTAATAATTAGAATTTTAATGAGAAAGGGGGAGAAACAGGGGGAATCCAGAGAGCATAGAATGCATTTAAATGTTCCGTCTGACAAAAAACTGAATTCATAAATGAGCAGGGAAGTGGGGGGAAGGGGTGGGCCAAGGGAATCAAATTTTCTTCTGTGTGGTTGCTTTTTGAATGCTCTTCCACGTGACCCCAGCTGTTGTTCCTCGGAGCTGTGATCAGGGGAGGCAGAGTATGGATTATTGGGGATCGGCACCCAGCGCTCAGTTCTGGTTATATAAGACCAAGAGGTGCTTCTGCCTGGAGAATCTTCTTCCAGGGCCTCACACAGGCAGATGCAAGAACTAGGCCCTGAGTGGGTTGGCTCTCGAGAGGTGAACAAGGCTGGTAAGAGTATAATTAGGTCCCAGTTCGGGGCAACTGCAAAGGACTAGCCCCTTTAAAATCACTGTCTGGCCTTGAACTTGGTCAGCCCACACAGCCTGGGGAAGGTGAAGTAAGGCTGGGAAGGGGCGTAGGTTCCCATAAGGCCAGAGGATTGTGCAAAGGCCCAGATGACCTAAGAGATGTGCCTTAGATTTACTCCAGGTCCGCGAGTAAATCATGGAGCACAAGAAACCTTCAAACCTTTGTCCCATTCTGTCTTGTTTGAATCTCAACCCTGCGAGGCACATAGAATTTTCATGGGCAACTCAGTCACCTTGTGAAGCCTGACCCTGTGCTCTCCCTACTTACACCCCACACCAGCCTCACGATGAGAGAGAGGCTGCCCTCCGGTTAAGAAAGACACGCTACTGAAAAAAGACACAGTACTAACAATTGTGTTCTCCCTCCTTCTCTCCTTTCCTCTTGATTTCTCTCTCAGTCTGGAGAGGAAAAAAACATTGCCCTAGAGTCAGACTGGGCTGCTTCAATGTCCCTCTCCACTGCCGAGGAGCTGTGTGATCCTGGCAAGCTACTCAATCTCTCCGAGCCTCTGCTTCTGGCAAAATGGGTATAATAATAACTACCTTATGGGTCATTGTAAGGTTTAAATATTAAAAGTCTATCAAAAATGCTGAGGACAGTACCTCGAATGTGGTAAGCAGTATAATAAAATATTAGCCATTTTTATTAGAATTACCTAGTTCTACCCAGTCTGGTTTTGAACAGCCTTTAGTTTTGAAATTTGTTTAGTGGACAAAACACCTACAAGTCATGGCCACTAATAAGTAGAGAGAGCTTTAACTCTATTTATCACAAACCAGAACAGCCTTACAAGCAGAAATAACATGCCTATTTCAAAGGTAGCGAGTTCTCTCTGTCTCTCAAGACAAAATACACACTGTATTAAAGAACCCCCATCTCTGGGTTTTTTGGTCAATACTCATTCGCTTGTTATTTGTCCACTCGTTTTGTCGTTACTGTCACTGGCCAGCTGGTGAACAGGAGTGAGCCTCAAAGGAACAAGGAGGAAATCAAGAATGAAAACTCTACAATTAAGAACATCAGCTCTGCTTTTGCAAAGTTTTCTTGAAAATTGGGGAAAGAAGTTCATTGCTCAGTGATAGATGTGAAACATCCCCATGCAGGTGTCACAGCGGTGTAGCGTTCCATGAGTACCAGGCTTGGGAAATCATATTGGCCAATTACCCGGCAGCCTTCGGGTAAGCAAAGGATTCACAGAAACAGCCCCAGTGACCCGGCTTCTGGCCCTGGCTGGCCAACTCCAATCCACCAGGTGCGCAGACACGGAGCAGACCTCTCAGGTGAGTACTAGCACCAGAAGGTTCTGGGAACATCCATATTTCTGAATGTGTGACCTTGAGCAAGTGACTTAACTTCTCCAAATCTTGGTTTTCTCTTTTATTTCATTGGGGATTCTAATGATCGCTACTTCTGAGAATCATTGTGAATATTAAATAAATGATGATATAGAGCACAGTGCTGTACATGGTGACTGCACCCCAAATGGAAATTGTTATTCTTCATATGTTACGTTTTTGAGGGATAATTGTTTACTGCATACAGGCAGGACCCAAGCGGGGCCCTCTGAGGCAAGGAAGGTCGGGACACCAGCCTAGAGGACAAAGTATCTGAGCTACCTCAGACCTTTCTTCTCCCCTAGGAAAGTAAGGTGCCCCTGAAAGAGATCAGGGCAGGACCTACTTGTCTCCATAAATGGGACTGTCAGGCAGGAGCGATGGCTCACAGCCTCCCTCTCTCCCTGGAAAATGCCGGGTTATTAATTAGCAACCAGGACTTTCTAATCTCCCTTACCGACATGTCTCCAAAGACAGAGCCCTGATGCCCCCTCCCCTTCTCTCCACCCACCATGTTAGGATTCATCAGCGGGTCTTATCACTTGCTATTGTTCCCATTTTTCTAATGGGCTTCCATGTCAGGAAAATCCATTTTGTAACAGAAACAAGCATGCTCACTAACAGATTGTAATTGAAAAGATAAACTAAGGACAGGAAGGAAGAAGGAAGGACCAATTTCCCTGCTCCCCACAAAGCTAAAGAAGGCTGAATTCAAGGCCTGGGGTAGCTGGTGGGGGCTCAGAGACAGTCAGTCCCCAGCTGTGCAGAGCGGAATGCTCGCTCAGACGCAGACGAGAGACAAGCACAGACAACAGAGAGGCAAAGGCCAGAGAGCCTGGAAGGATTAGTGCCTGGTCCAGGAAGGGTGGAGACTCTTATCAGAACCACTAATATAAATGGCAATCTTGCTCGTTATTCATTCCTACGTAGCAAGCACTGTGCCTGCTTACATTCGCTCATCTAATCTTTAGAGCCTCCCTAAGAAACAAGCATTCATCTCTCCCAGAAAAGTTGACTAAGTCAAGCGATATTAACTAGACTCTTGAGTCAGTGCTTGGAGCCTGACAGGAGTCAGGTTGACCCAAAAAAACTATCTAGTGGAAGCCTAGGCAGAGAAGCTGGGGGGCGCATTTCTCAGTTTTGAATAGGGGGTGATGGGAGACATCCAAACCCTCTGAGCCCGGGGAGAACCCTCTGAACCCTCTGAATCTCAAGCAGCTTCTCATCCCTCATCTTATTCTTCTCTCCTGCAAAAAAGCAGACACTGCATGTTACCCAGCAGCCACCCCACCAACACCAACAGCCCCGGAAAAGTATCCTTCAGAGACAGACCTGAGAAATACCTGAGCGGGGTGTGGGAAAGAGTTAGGAGAAACAGGATTTTCTGTTCTGGGGCACGCAGATGTGCCCCATTAATAATAAGCTCTGCCATCGCTTGTAAATGTATTAGGAGAAACTGGTCTAATTAAAATCCAGGGTTGGAGAGAGGGAGAGTAGAGAGTTTTCCCTTCTTTAGTAGAGAGCTTCCTTTCCTTCTTTCATAGATCCAGGCCAAGCTACCGATGGGGATAATTAGCAGAATCCAAACAGAGAAGGAATTAATGCTCCTGAAAAAACTGATGAGGAGAGACAATGCTGGGCTAATTACGGCCACACCAAGCTTTATGACTGGGCACCCACTTCCACAGTCATTAGGGGATTCAGAGATAAATCGGAGACTAATGTGGAGTGTTATATAGCTAATGGAGCGTTGGCATTAATTTAGCAATTATTAGTGTTATTATTTGGGCAGATGGTTACTGCACCCTCCTGCCTCATTGGTCATGTGGCAGGTGGCCTCTGATTGTGGGGATCAAAGCTGGGGGGAGGGGAGGGGCAGACAGAAAGCCGGACAGGTTCTATTCCACCTCCCCATCCCCCTCTGTACCTGCAACCTGTGAAAGAAGAGAC